TTAGCAGTGATGAGTAGCAGAACTTTCTCTGGGTTTAGTGAAATGCTACGTTGTCCATAAAAGACCAGTGACCTGCCGATCGTTCAATTCACTCGCCCTCCAAGAAAGCCGGTACATGCAGTTTTTCCGAATCAACTCCGTTGTGCCGTCTGCGAAAGTTGTAGAACCGAGAAATAAACAATACTGAAGTTGTTGGAAATGCACTTGTTTGTTATTTCGCGTTGCTTCTGAAAAAATATTTTACGGTTAGCAGGAATAATGTTGCGATTGTGTAGCTAAACAAACCAAGGTAGCAGACGATCATGCTCCTTCTGCAAACGAAAATGAACCGAGCGACTACCTCAAAGGGGACAGCGCCGCTGCATCAAAAGAATTGGACCCTAGATGAAAAATTGGAATTAGTCCGGGAAGTTGAGGCTCGAAAATACCAAATCCTGGGAAAATTCGGCCCTACCGTGACTACTAAAACCAAAAGACGCGCCTGGGACCAAGTCGCCAATTCCATGACCCGCCGCCACCAAGTTCCGCGTTCAGTGAAACAACTTCAAGAACCATGGAGAAAATTACTTAAAAAGTGCCAAACTTTGTACAGATTGTACAAAGAACATGACCAATGGACAGGTAAGTTCCAATATTTGCGCTACCAAAACAGAAAAAAGGGCGATATTTGTAAAATCTTTATTGGAAACTTTGGGTGCACTGTACAAATTTATTAGAGAGTGATACATTAGCCCCTCAAATTTTTGGGGCAAATATCTCAACCGAAGACCCCATTCAATACGCGACAACTAACATTTCGCTCAATATCATGAGAGGGCAAGCCCGAAGATTAATTAGCTCTTACTCGCACAAGTTTCAACACAGTGGCACTAACACAGAAATAGCCCCAAAGCACCTTGGATCCTGTTCCACGCGGTGGGCCTGCGTAATTTCTCAAAATTAATGTCCAAATTTTGCTTGCCAAAAACATTGTCTTTAGCACTGTAAACAATGTAGACACTATTGTTCAACTAAACACAGAAGAAAAATGTATGTAGGCAAGTAGCGTGGGAACAAGGGCAGGGGGGCTTCAGACCCCCTTCCCCTTCCTCCCCCCCCCCTTTGAAATTTCAGACAGCTGCGGTAAACAATGCTGCAAAAGGGGGCGGGGTTAAGCTCAGAGGCCCCGTCGCCCCTCCACGTTTCAAACACTTCCGACGCAACCGATTCAGGCACAGAGTGGGCCAGGCTAGCCGGTAGCTGGCAACAGTGAGTTTGCTGTCAAACAAAAAATAAAAAGAAATAAATTGCCCAACATCACATATTACCCGAGACCGGATAATAGGAACCTGAGGGTGAAAAAAAAAACGAAGGTAAGAAAAAAATCTTATCATTATTGGCAATTACATGTTTACGCGTTTTCTGTTCATTCGCACATTGATACTATGTTGAATAATGAACACCCTGTCTCCCCTCCCCCACCTTTAATTGTGCTTACATCCTAGTAAACAAAATAAGTGTACTTCAATTCATAGGTGCTGGTCCCAACCCCCATCAGCTGACACCACTTGTCGAGACTGTTTTAAATGTGATCGGGGACGATTCCCCGACTATCTGTGGGATTGACGTCATCATCGGTGAAACCGAAAAGTAGGTAACACTTTATAGGCCATGCTGTGTATGCTATGCTCCTGTTGATACTTTATACATTGCAATACTAAAGTTGTAGGTATGAGCACGTGGCTTCGTCAATCACCTTACTTGTGCTAATTGAATGGCCCACCCTTACGCCTACAAGTTTGATATCATTGCACACTGTATGTAGACTGTGACAATGGAGGCGATAGTACAGTGGAAGCTCTGCACCCAGTTACAGCTTACTAGCCCTGACAGCACAAGGATGCACAAGCAGCATAAGGGAATGAGCACGCGCTGAAGGTGCATTCTTTTTCTGTTCTGCTTGTCACATTATGAGTACTTCCACAAGATGATAGTTATGAAACTGATAGGGATGTTCTGCTGTCACTGATGATAGGTATGAAACTGAGCACAGACACAAGGCATATCAAAAGTCACCAATTGTTGGCATGCTCCTAGAAAACATTGATGAGCATAGGGAACAGTTTGGATTGTCATAAAAGAATATATTGGTTTTCCATCTCAAAGTGGACATGTCAGTTGCATAACACTACTGCTGCGTGCCCTTACATAGAGACCAACTTCATGAAGCAAAACGACAATATTAGGAGCACGAGTCAAAACCTGTCCAGTAGAGAACAGAACACAGCACAAGGACACCACCTTCACATATTTAGCCATTTCTGCACTGCTGAAAAAGTGCCAATGAAACCATTTATTAGGGTAAATGCAGTAAAACTCAGTTTGAAACTATTTGTACCACAAAATTACAAAGAAATATTTACATCATAATCAACAAAGCTATGGTAGTCTTTCTCTCAAGTTGAGATCACCTATTTTCTTCTAAGTCAGGTCACTCAATACCCAAATTTTTCCACTGTCAGTGGAAATGTTTTTGCATGATCTTCGTACATGCCTGCTAACGTAGCAAAAATCCATTCTTTTTTGGTAACTTTTATGAGATTAAGTTGAGAATGCACAAATGACTTATTCGATGCTGATCTGTGCCAACAAAATCTGAAAAAGTATCAATGTCCCAGTTAGCCGGACAGTGCTTGGGTACACAATAATCACATATGATGGCTGGTGTGAGTGCCACATCTACTTGTTTTAAATCTTGTACAAATGTCTATATGGCGACTCTACCAACCGTCAATGAAACGAAGTTGTGGGGTTAGGCACTCCAGTCTGTTGTACCACCAACATATGTGGTAAAATTATGACAAGTGTTACTGTCACATCTGGATTAAGGTTGCCGCACGTTGCACTCAGTTCTCCCACACATATATGTACCCTGATCCAGGGTGACATCAAAAATGTCATGCACTGCAGCCCTCATGCATCACTTAAAGAGATAGAGGACGGAGAGAATCATGTCACGGAGGACATACGTGCACGAGTATGGTGTCTAGTCACAATCCTTTGCTTCAATGCTCTGAGCAGCTCTCTGGAGCTGTAGCCCTTGCAGTTTGCCAAGTTATGCTGAAATTTACAAGTTCACTCCTGCCCAACAATAGCCCTCTGTGAGCTGCCATTTTTCTCACTGCGCATGCTCGGAACACGTCCCGAGCATTAACTTTACGCAGGACAATATTGTACCTCGGGCTGCCATCCACAGCCAGTCAGTGACTTGGCATTTTAAGTTTGCTGATAATCGTTGTAAAGGCTTATGCGTTAAAGGGATACCTCAACGAAATTAAAAATATACCCGTCGTGTTCAAAAATAGGTTGAATATGATTAGGGTGTGTACTCTCCGGTGTTTATTTGTGAGAAAAATCGGCGGATGTTTTTCGGTGTTTATTTATTTTCAAAACACCGGTGTATTTCGGTGGGACGTCTCACGATGAGACTAAAATCGGTGATTATCGGTGAAAAAAAAAGCGATTGATCACAGACAAAGATTTCCAATTTTATTCACATAGTTCATACACTCTTCTCTAGGAAGCAACTATTTCTCACACTTGGTTATTATAGTCGAAGCAAGCATAATTTCATGCTTGCATCTACACGCAAGGAACGTGCTGCCCTTATGGCAGCACGTTCTTTGCGGTTCGCAACCCGCAATTATGCAAACGCACGCTCCAGTACGACATGGACGTTGGCAGTGTCTTCCAGGAACCACAGCAACCTCTGAATCCATGGCTTGCGCCGACATCACTCGGCCAGACACAATGAGGAAAAGGCACGTGAGAGCCTACCCTCCACTGCGTTAATTTTTCCACAAAAGGGGCCATGGGAGACACAATAGGGGAAAGGCGTATGAGAGCTTAGCTTCCACTGCGTTCACTAGACGCTTTTGACCCCCAGAAAGGAGGGTGGACTGACGCCACCGGCAAGCCATGTATAAACACTGGAAGAATGCATTATCCACAAGATAACACGTTTGACGAACCTCTACGGGGAAAGGGTTTCGCTAGGTCGGAAACTAGCAACGACCGGTGTTTTTCGGTTTCAACCAGGGCGAAAATATCCAGCCACCGGTGTTCTTCGGTTTTAACCGATTTTATATTTTCGTTACCGACAGATGTTTATCGGTGTTTTTCGGTTAAAACCGGAAAAAGCACACCCTAAATATGATCCACTGTATCCCTAAATGACAATCGCACGTTTGTATTTTGAACCTGGTGGCTATTGGCCCCGAGCGGGACCGATTGGAGCGCTGCGATCGCTCGACCGTGACGTAGGATAGGGGATCACGTGATAAGGACGGTTATTCTGCCTTGCTTTGGTCGGGGTATTCGGAAACCGTTCGGTCGTTATTTTCGTGTTTTTTTCTGTGTTTGGAGCCCGATTAGTTCACGCGTGGATCGGCTTCGGCAGCCGTCGTGCTCAGGAAGCAATGGTGAAGTACTGTTCGGTGCCGCAATGCCGCAGTTACGCGACCGACCCGAACGTCAGCTTTCACAACTACCCCAAGGAGAAGCAGCTGCGCACGGAGTGGCTTGTGAAGTTGAGAATGGGCAAATTAAACTCCAAGAGCTCGACAGTGTGCAGCAAGCACTTTAGAGATGAAGACTTCGTGTATGCGGTTGGAGCGAAGATGTTTGGTAAGTGTTCTCCAGTTATTTCAGTGAACCTCCACAAAAAGGGGGGGATTTTGTTGGTACCCGTCGGAGATCGACGCTCTTGCATTTTGCACGTAAGCTGCAAACACGAAACGTTTTCGCAGAGAGTGATATCACGCATGCATGTATCTAAGTGCTTAACACTCGTTAGTTTTCCTGGGCCACGATGCCCCAAAGTCACACGAGCGAACTGAGCAAAGCTGGCGATCAGACGGCCGAGATCGACGCATGCTCACGCTCCGTCGTGATTGATTTTCTTCCTTTTTTTTCTCGTCAGGCTGGAAAAAAAGGACACTCGCCCCAGGAACCGTGTTGTCCCAGAATCTGCCTTTACGGCCACTGGACAAGCCCCCGAAGCTGCGACAGCCCCTGAAGCCGCGGGCAGGTGTGGACACATGCAAGCCTCGCCGTGAGTGCTCTCGTTTGTAGGGAACATTCGTGGTATCAGTGGATGCTGTGTGATAAATAACCAGATTTTAAATATTTGGCTCCTGCATACCTGTTTACTTTTTTTGTTTTGCAGTCATCAGAAGATAAAACATGGTCGTGTCTATTTCAGTTCCAGTGCTGAGCTGTAACTTTAGGTTTTTCTGTTTGTTTGTTTTTTTCACTTGGATTTAACAGCCAAGGATGACCTGCCAGCAGCAGTTACATTGGCAGGGCTGAACTCCGAAGAAGCCAGCACCAGTGAGGGTTTGATTGAGCAGGAACTACCCAACCAGGATGCCGATGCTGCAGATCCCATTGGTGAGGAGAAAGCAAACATTGCATGCCCAGTGTGAGTCATGTCAGCCTAATTCTAGTTGATACCAGAGTTGTTTTTTAATGTTTCAGGTCTTCAGGCTGAACTTCACACCTTGAAGAAAGATGTCGGAAGTCAAGCGGACACACTACAGCTTGAGAAAGATCAAGTGCTCGGGATAGCACGGGTTAAGAATGAACCGGCCCTCGTATCACTGACCTGCATACCCTGTTTTCAGCTATTCTACAACATCTGCGACCTGTATGGGGAATCTCGCTTATTGAGCCAGAGGAAGGATTTCAGCATCAGTAACGAGGACGCAGTACTGCTAACAATGATGAAGCTGTACCACAATCTGACGTTTTCCCTTCTTGGGGTACTGTTTGGGGTCCATAGGACAACAGCTTCCAACATATTTAGAGCGTCGGTACCGGTCCTAGCAGCAGTGCTCAGGCACGCCGTTTTCTGGCCTGAAAAGGAGGCTGTGCTCCAGTCCCTGACCAAGTACTTTAACAAGTACAGGGACTGTCGCATGGTGCTCGACTGTACAGAGATTCCTCTGCAAAAGCCGAAAAACCTGGAGTCTCAACTACTTACCTACAGTCACTACAAGGGAACCCACACTGCAAAGGTGCTTGTGTGCGAGACGCCAGGTGGCTTAATTAGCTATGTGAGTCCGGCATACTGTGGCAGATCCTCCGACACGCATATCACAAAGGAGAGTGGGCTTCTAGAGAAATGCCTGCCCTTCATCGACAGCGTAATGGTCGACAAAGGGTTCTTAATTGACGAGCTGTGTTGCGAACACAAGGTAAAGTTGGTTCGTCCACCATTTCTCCGTAAAAACACACAGCTGAGCAAATCTGACGCCGCAAACAACCAAAGCATCGCAGCCGCACGCGTCCATGTCGAGCGTGCAATTCAGCGAATGAAGTTGTTTCGAATTCTTCGGGACAATTTCAGCGCAGACCTCCTTCCGCAAATCGATGATGTTGTCGTCATCATTGCAGGTCTCGTGAACCTCTCAAAGCCCTTGTTCAGCAACGACAAATTTTTAACTGGTTAATACATTGCTGAACAGGACACGATAGCGTTTTCTTTTAGCTGCCTGTTTAAACGTTGACGTTAATCTGTAGATCACTTAATGGGCAGTTCAAACATGGCATCCCACTGCCATTTGTGAAGTATGAGTTCTCTTTAGCAGGGTAGTAAGAAAAAAGTATTGTTCGGTCACAGACTGTGACTAGCCAAGAATTTCCTTGTTAACCTCGTTCAAGGTACTCTTCCCCTGTGCCACATTGGAGAAAGGTTGTCAAAGCACAGAAATGAGTCAATATTTCTAGCTCGTGCATTTAGACACACAAGCCATTCAACAGCCTTGTAAGATATGTTTCTATGCCAATTTAATTTTGCAAATTTGATGTCATGCATACTGTAATAAATGAATGTATTAGCACGTGCTTGTTGCCATCCTTTTGTTTATTTGCTGGCTTCAAATGCATATCTAATGTTACCACACTGGCCCTTTTTGGGGCCCACTACCACGAGTATGAACATGCCAGATTCTTCAGCGTGTCAAAAATGTACTTGTCGTACAGGGTGTGCACTGCAGCCGAACATTTAAGGAAATGTGCAGCATCAAATGGCACGGTAAGTGCCCTCCAGTCCTCTGGACTCTTGTAGACGAAAAAGTCACACACTGGAATATTCATTATCCCCATCTGGACCTGAACCTGTGTGTAGAACAGGGGCGTCGGCTTGTCCTTTGAGAAAGCTTTTTTCACCGTGTTGAGGCACTTGATTTCTAAAATACGCTTCTCACCCTTGCAGCAGGCGCAGGTGAAAGTAACGAGCCCATCCACGCTACAGCCCATCACAGGAAACTCGTTCCAAATCAATAGGCCCCTGTCTTCCACAGTGCATGTGTGGCCCCTCGACTTCACAACCGAGACATACTTGTCCCGCGCAGTGCCTTCCATGCTCAGCCCGCGCTGCATTGCTGCAGACTGGTATGTGCTCGTGCGGAGGACCGCCTTCAACAAAGGCCCCATGTTGTGCGGCATTTGCTCTATCTCGCACTTCGCTGCCCTTGTTTTGAAGGAATGGCAGACTGCACTTGTTGCCATGCCTATCCTCTGGCGCAACCAGTCCTCAGATAGCGACTGTTCCCTCGTCCTCTCCTCGATTACCGCACAGACGTCTGCAGAGAAGGTGGCCCTTATCTCCTCCACAAAAGCATCGAAGCTGGGAGCAGCAGTTGTGGCAATCAGTCGCGTAAGTGTGGGCAGTCCGGGGACAGGGGGCTCCTCAGCTGCGGTGGGGGCGGTTGATATCTCTGCAAACATGCAAATAAACAGGGAATATTGACACATTACACACTATAAAGGTGATAGGAAAGAAATTGGTTGTTGGAATGCAAAAATGAAATGCTAGGGAACAGTTCTATGTACAAAACACAAGAGGACTAATTATGACCAGTCTCATTGCTGCCATATGAATACGTTGAATAAGCCTGGTACTAATATGCGAGCATACGAGGGCCATTAAAAAAGTATCAGACCTAAATTTGTTCTGCATAAACAAATGAAGTGCAGACAGCATCTTCTGGTTAGAGAAGTGGAGGGAACATTAATGTGTATGTGTGAATTTTATCAGGCCTGATGAAAATGTGAGTTGTTTTCAGTCAGCCTCCGAGTGAGGAATTGTAGTCGCATCTCGTCGTTTTTTTCCCTAACTCGAATAGGGTTCCTTTCAGCGGCATTTTCATCGTAGGGAAGAGCCAGAAATCACATGGAGCCATGTTGAGACAGTAGGAAGCCTGTTTTGGCCAAAAAAACTCAGACGCAATGAATGAGCTGGTGCACTGTCATGATGCAGCTCCATCGTGAGAAACTTCGGCACGATTGCACGAAGTTGGTTAATCACCAGATTATTTCGGCTTGTTGAAGGCCTCTCCCTACTGACATGCAGTCATCTTTGATCTGGTTGTACCAAACCTTAATGTTTTTTTAATGCCCATGGCATCGTCCTCGAACTCCTGCTGAATATTTCGAATTGTTTCCACTTGAGTGTGAGCAAGCTTGAATCAAAATTTGATGCAATACCTCTCACTCAAACTACTTTGTCATGTTGCAAAAAAACAAAAAAAACAAAAAAAAACAACGAGCACTAACTACACGTCATCACTCCGAGGCTAACTGCCTGCGACTCCCATTTTTTGCGGGCCTGATAAAATTCTTGCATGCGCATTAACGTTCCCTCTGCCTCCCCACCAGATAAAGCTATCCGCGCTTCATTTGTTTCCACGGTACTAATTCAGGTAGGATACTTCTTAAACAGACCTTGTACACCAATTAAGCATGTAGTGGCATACTTAATTGGTGATGGTGCTCCAGGCGCACTTTCAGTTTAGAGTTGTGGGCCAGGAAAGTCACCTGCACCTGGCAATCTGGTTTTTTGTAGAAATCTGCCTATGGCAGGATGACAGTGCACATTGCTCAACTAGACTTTAGCCTCAGCCACTTTAAACATATTGTACTAAGGAACATTTCTGGTTGCTTTTCTGGTTCGCTTGACATTTTTTTCTCTCCTTTGCAGTCACCTGTTACGACATATTGGATATTAGTGCTTCCACTCAAATCTAATATATATATGGCGCAATCGCCATGCCTTCAGAACCTAGTACCTGTACTTTTTATTATCAACTCTGTAACTTTTGTGAGTCAGGCATGCACAATTCAGAATGTAAACATATTAAGGTTGGAGTCCCCATCCGTTGAGCGTACTGCTCACAGCTGTGTCAATTTATCACAGCCACCGATCTAAGTGGTGTACATTTATCTAGGGTTTCAATGTACACAAAAATTCTACACAGATAAATATACACAGGAGTGTACATTTATCTTGGGTTTTTTCTGCTGTGATCCAAACATCCTGCAGGTCTGTACTGAGCACAGCTTCTATCCCGTGTGAGGCATGCCACCACTGATGTTCGTCGGATACTGAGAGAATCGATTCATAAAGTCTCTTAAGAATGACCAACAAACAGCCAAAACCAACTGTAGCAAAGACAATGGGAAAGAGAAAGAGGAAATGCAGTTCATGATCCAACCAAGAGGACGGATTTCTTCGGTGTGCCGCAGGGCAGCTGACCTATAAGTCAGTCCCTCCAGTAGTCCAGTAGTCGTCCCAGGATATCGCCTTTAGGAAGCAGGACCGGATCCCCTTCAACCTGAAAATATAAAGCAAAAATTCGCCAAAATTAAGCAAACGTAAAACAATGAATTGCAAGCGTGCCGGCTAGTGCCTCTTTCATGCAACCATGTTCGCATGCATGTAAGGGCAACATTGGCAGGCTTGCAGTTGCGTGTGCTTCGTTGTGCAAGCGGAGACAATGGCTGTTCGGTCGAAACCGAAATCATGTCACTCCGCTCTGTCGCCTACTGGATCCCAAAATTGTATGCAAAATGCAACTGCCTAGCATACGACAAAAAAAAAAACAAAAAAAAAACAGTCCAGCGGTGTGCGCTTGACAGGCCGGCAGGCGAGGTACAAGCTAAACACCCAGAAAAAAAGAACCGGAGTGCATCGATGTATGGCATCGCGAGCCAGGGTCAAAAAGATTTTGGAGCGCTTTGTCCAACGACTGAACTCGTGGCAAACAAGCACACTCTGCGGGTTCAGCTTGCAGACATTGCCTCCTTTGCTCACTTCTCGTCACTAACTCTCTTTCGCGGCAGATTTTTTACGTATCGGGGTCCCTCTCGAAAAAGAAAGCCCACCGAGAGAAACCTATGTAATCACTACTTCGACAAGCAGTTTTTGAAAAGGGGGATTTTGGTAGTGCCATATGATTTAAACGAGAGCACGAATGTTGATGAACACGCAGCAGTAACTACGTTTCAGTTTAGAAAGCGGCATATTTGTAGCGACGTGGGGACGGCAACCCGTTACATTGCACGACCACGGTGACTGTGGTTGTGCTAGTGCTTCAGCTCACAAAAGAACTCTTGCCGTGCAAAAAAAAAAAAAAAAATTGGTTTTGTTCCACAGCATGACGGCATGGCCGGCACACTAACGTCAGAGCATCCGCACACGCCCAAGTGTATCGTTGAAAAAAATTGAAAAAGGCGCGAGACGAGACCACCGGACAAGAGCCCCGAGATGACATGAGAGCGCAAAACCTGAGACGGCGGGAAAAGCCATGCAAGGGGTGGGGGTGATCGGACGGATGATTGATGCGGGGTACTTAGTGTTGGGCGGTTTCTTGCGCCACCTAGGTCACGCATGCTCAATTACGGTTCTCAGTTTAGTTTCGTTTTTGAAAGGCGACCGAAACTGGTGCTTTGGCACAGGCTTGGTGTAGACTACCCATATTTTGGCAAATGTAGCCGGACGTAGCAGGGTTAGCCCCTTGGCACAGTTTCGCACAACTGGCCCAGCATACACATCACTGTCTTCATTTGATTTGCTGTCTTCATTTGATTTGCTAACTCAGGCTGACGCAACAGATGCACTACATCATTAGTGAAAATCCCACAAGGTCACGGAACGCACACAAGAAAATGAAGGAGCATCCTGTGTGCTCTCGGCGTACCTATGCCGTGACACACTGTTGGTCAAGTTCCATTAGCACAGGTCAGGGCAGAAGAAGCGTTTATATGTGGGTCTTGTACAGCCCTTTCCCATGATTTCATTTGGCGCTGGCGGAGGGAGCTTTATGGTATGCACAAGGTCTACTAAAAGCGCTGTGCATAAATAGAAGTTTCATAGCTCACTTTTTCAAGACCCGGGAGGTTGACGATCTTCCTCGGAGCATACTTCTCCCCGACCGCTCTCTTCTGCCCCTTCCCCCACTTTTGTGGCAAGTCTGTGGACGCCAGTACGTTGAAGTTCCTCTTGGCGTTGATGTGTAGCAACATTGCCACAACGTGCTTACACTTGTAGTTCCTGCAAAATGGCAATGTTCTTAGCTTGCAATTAAACAGCATATCCAATATCAGTCATAAAATGTGAACAGTCTCACCCTCTAGCAGTACCTTTCTCATGCAACTTCAATATTATTTGAATGAGATTAAAAGTGCATGTACAAGTTGGCAGTATGCAATGCCAGTAGAGCTGAGTGTTAATAGACTTGAAAGAGTAATCTACAGAGAATAGCAAGACATAAAATTTCACCGACTATTTTAACGTGAAAATCACTCGCAGCTTAGTGGTATCTAAGCAACCAGCAGCTGCATAAATGTGAGAATGTTATGTGGCTCCATTGATTTTAGTTTAAAGGTTGCTGATACGAGGGCAGCTGCACTCGTATTTGCATGTAATATTTTTCTTTTTGTAGTGCATCTGGTTACTATGTAGGGGCCAAGAGAAAACTATTCTACAACTCTAATGGACCTAGCTACAGGAATATTTGCATAATCTTTTTTGACAGAAGAAAGAAAAACAGCAATGTTGTACACAAACTGCCATTGGCCTTTGGATGATCGGATATTAGTTTATGAATTAAATGTTATCCACAAGGTTTAATACTCGTAGCTCAAAAATTCCGACATTGCAGAAAAGATAAAAGAGAATACTCAAAAAACTAAAAAAAGAAAAAAAGAAAAAAAAAAAAGAAGACGGACGCACGGAGTCGAACTCGCGACAAGCGCCTCACGAAGCGCGCACCTTACCACTGCACCACGGGAACAACGAGTAAAGCCCGATCGTATTTCGTAAACAAGGCGCAGCACTTCGCCGGTTATCACAAATTGTTCGGTTCCCGGCTCGAGCCGCGAGCTCCTCGATCGACTTGACAACACGCCGGCCGATAAGTACATACAACTCAACCGAGTAATGATACACGGCATGTTCCTTTACCCTGCTTTGCAGGAGCACGATGTGTCACCGACGTTTCTTCCATTCAGTGCCATCTCCAGCTCGTGCGGGTCCGAAGTCAGTGCCGACGTCTGGAGGACGAATCCAATGAACGTGTAGCAGTCCTTATCCACCTTCTTGATACTGCAGGAGAAGACATGTCCCGCTTCAAGAACTCGTTCGCCCTCGAGCAACAGCCGGGATGTTTCGTGGGCCTTGTTCACGAACGCGTTGATGCTGCTTACAGGCAGCACAACTGAAAAGGGGTACACAGTTTTAACGGGCTGCCCGGTCAAATAGAAGCTAAAAAAAAGCTTCGCTTACCTTCAACGGTAGGTCGCACATGGTCCGCATCCATCGCAGTGCCCGATACAGCCGCCGAAAACGACAAATTGGCCCGTACCGTCTAGTCTAGTCTACGCCGCCGTGCTTCCCTGCAGCGACCGTTTCCCTGCTAGCCTGCAACAGGCTCACCGGCTCCCCGGAAGCAGTTGTACGGTAGCCGACTTAGGAGCTTGACCGGATCGAGTACAAAAACGAAAAAATGGGTTAAAATAAACCTTAAACACTCGTACTAATACTAATAGAAAAAAGCGAAGACCGAGACACTGCACCCTACACACTGAGCGCAAAAAACGGTCACGTGATCTCCTATCCTACGTCACGACGATAGGCCCGTTAGGTGGCGCCACGTCATGTTCTCGGGGCTAATAGTTTTCGTTACAAACGGCCCACCCTGACAAGCGCTCGGAGAAGAGCCAGCGGAGAGCATGTGACACCCAACGCAATCGTGACGTAGTTCGTCTCGGGACGAGCAAAGCTGCGACGAGGCTGACGTCGAGAGGATGGCCTAGTCGTTCCAGCCACCAAAGCGGCTGCTTTTGTACGAATTTTGAGTGACGGGTTGATCTTTTATAATCTTGAAGGGGGAAAATAGCAACTTCTGGGACATACAAAAAGGATTCTTTGGAAGAGGAGAGTTCCTCCTTCCCCTCTTCTAGTGTGGTAGCCGGAGGCGAGACAGTTACCGTCACTAGCTGTCAAGGTTCTTAGACGGGCATTACAAACGAGGCTTTAGCGACATCCACCTGGTGCTCTTTGCCAATCGCTTAATTCATTTTAAAATTCCTTTTCGTGACTTTTTTAACAAGATATTGTTGTGTTCGATGTGATACTGCTCCTTCGAACACATATAGACCAAAAAATGAAACCCGAAATTTTGTTGTAGTATCCCTTTAACCTCAAACAATTTCCTGGTCATGCGTGTCACTACAGCAGCTGCACGGAAAGGGTGACGACGCCGCCACCCTCGTCATCTGGCAGCAGTACAGTTGAAGACGACGCAGCACAGAGAACACTGGCCTCTCCTGTTGTGCAGCACAACCAGCGCTGGACCCGTGAGGCTGCACAGCAGTACCAGAGAAGGGCCAAGCGACAGCAGGATCTGGAGCATGAGAATATACTCCTTGAGAGAAAGTACACAAATGGGGCCATACAGGCTGCAAACGCAACCCTCGCTGCAGCAGATGCTGCACGGAGTTTCTATGCTATAGGGGAGGAAGTGCTCAGGGAGCAAAGAGAACTCATTAGACTTGAAACCACCCGAGCACAGCTGCAAATTGAACTGATAAAAAGACAATTAGGACAAGATTAACTCATGTAATGGGCTACTTGCATTGTTTGTCGCTGTGTTGTATACATATTTTGCGTTTTTTCTGACCTACATACTTGTTTGCACGATTATAACGCTCACATTTTTTTTGCCAAAATGGGTGCCTAAAATTAGATGCACTTACAATTGAAACCAAAACTCAAAAGAAAAACGCAAGGCAGCTAGCCCAATCGCCTTTAAGACCGTTTGTTTACATTAGATATTTTGGTATCCGTATCGCACGTTCTTTCGCCTTTATGTCATCACACTGACGGGAAACGATAACCACGGAGCGACACTGCGTAGCCTCACAATCCCAGTGACCCAATGAGCTCGCGAAGTGTTGTATGAAAAAAAAAAGTGAAGGCCGTTTACAACTCTGTAACGCCGAATTAGAGTGCAGCTCTTGAGGAGGAGTAGGGAAGGGTACTGAGGGGGAGGGGGGGTCACGTGACCTCGGGGGGGGGGGGGGGGGGGGGGTCACGTGACCCCCAGGTCACGTGACCCCGCAGAGAAATTTTTCCGCTAGGTTTAGCGGACAAATTTTTCCGCTAGATTTAGCGGGGAAATTTTTTCGCTAGATTTAGCGGGGAAATTTTTTTGCTAGATTTAGCGGGGAAATTTTTCTGCTAGATTTAGCGGGGAAATTTTTTCACTAGATTTAGCGGAGAAATTTTTCCGCTAGATTTAGCGGAGAAATTTACCCATCATGCACCGGCGGTTACGGCGACGGCGACGCCGCTCAAGCCGGAAGCGAGCGCCTAAGAGCTGCACTCTAAAACGTCCCTCTAATAGGCAACGGTCGCGCACTCGTTCAAGCGCAAGAAGAACGGCACCTCAAACGCTTTAGATGGAAGCAAGGATGACCTTCTGCAGTCTTGTGGACAGCGAAGACCAATTGCCAGATTCCGACAACAGAAACTTGTGCGCGGTATTTATTTTGTGTATTGCCGTGCGTTTCCTAAAATTGGTTTTATGAGGTATGGGTGTTCAAAGTGCATTACTTTACCTGCGTGGTAGAATCGGCAGCAATTAAATTTTTCGATATCTGGGAGCTAAAATTGCCTGCATGTAAGTATCGGGGGCACGTTAGAATCGTGCAAACACGGTATGTTTGACACTTCATTTATTTTATGCATGCTATCTACAAGGGAAGCTTGCACACAATCTTTTCCATGTCGTTGACTATCCCTACACTAGACCAGCGTGGTTGTTCTGATCGCAATATTTTACGCTGTGGTTAAGTAAGCAACAGAATATCATACTGGCAGTATGGCACCCAGGCTTTCGACGCCCCGTAGGTGGCACATAATTTACATGGATACCTAAAATAAAAATATGGGTTAAGCTCAAAGGCAGAGGTATAATTCCTTCTTTCCTATATCCCTTCACATGTTTCCCTTTCATAACGCGGCTCCCCATCACAGCTCAAGAGAGGAGGTCGCCAAGACGATTAGCCTCCCGGCAGAAGACTAAGGTCGAGTTTCTGTGTTTTAAGAAAATGTTCGAGTAATCGATGAGTGGACCACAGACACTTTCTGACTTGCATCTGCAAATATTCCTTCTGCTTTTAAGATAAAGGCTCTTTCTGCCTGGATATGCTCCTGCGACCTATGGACTGTGTGCTGCTTATGTACGAAAAAGTTCATACTAAGAATATCCCGAAACTCAGGAACAGAAAAAGGGATCAAAGACAACACTACATCATTTTGTTGCGTGTGTCACCTTTTGGGGCCCCGGGTCTTCAACTCTTATTACTTTGAATCGTCACCACTTACCTTGTTCTTTAAGTATTGATTTATTTATTTATTTATTTTATTTAAAGAGTACCTTCATCGCCTCGAGGGCATTATTGTAGGAGGGGTGGGAAATAACACACATACATAAAAACACAAAGTGATCACTTGTCCGCACAGAATAGATATACAACCGAGAAAAAAATACACCGTTATCCAACACAACAGTTTTTTGGAGCTGAAATCTACTTGCTGCTTGCACGTAGGCTCGCGATAATTCGAACTCGGATATTTCATACTTCCAGTTAATTCAAACAGGTTTAAAAATTTTGGTTGTCCCGCTAAGCTTTTTTATGTATTTATAAGCCACTTAATTCGAATGGCGTTTTCACTTAATTCATAGTTTTTTGTTCTCGCGGCCCTGTTGAGTGCGCTTCTTTCTGAGCACCGGTGCACCGCAGAGAAGCAATACCTGCGGAGCTTGCTTTTGCGAGTGTTGCTTCTCCGCAGTGCACCAGTGCTCGGAAAGAAGCGCAGTCAACGGGGCCGCGAGAACAAAAAACTATGAATTAAGGGGAGACGCGGGTCTTAAAATGGTAAAAAAACGCGAAATTTCACGTTTTTCAAAATTCACATATTTGGATTAATTGTAGTCTAAGGTACCTGCCTGCAAAGTTTCAGTGTCGAATTCAATGTCTAAGCATGCAAAAAATGATGTTTACGATGTCCCCGCAGAGCCCTAACACAGCGAGTTCAATGAAAACAAGTGGAACTTCGCGCCCCGCGCGTTTCGCGATCGCTCGTCGGATCGCGGTCATCTTGGTCTTGTTGGAAAGCTGCTTATTTTCCCCACCTCCCCATTCCATTCATTATCGCGACAACATTGGGGAACGTCCGCATTCCGTGGGTTTCGAAGGCCCCAATTGTGATCGCTCATTGGCCGGCTAGCAAGGTGCCCATACGTCAGAGCACGCGCGGCGCCTAGCGCCCCTGCTATTGGCCTAAACGCGCCCCTCCGCTCTTTTTCTCCTTTCCTCCTTTCCGTTCCCGCGCTGGCGAGAGGTGCGTCGTCTGCTCCTGGGCCCGTCTCCGCCCGTCTCCTTAGGCCTGTCTGCTTTGTTTCCTCCGTGGTCGAGCGCAGGTTTTAGTTCCCGTTTGCGCGCTTGCGTTGAATATTGTTGGTTCGTTTTCCTACGAAGTCGCGCGTGTTTTGTTTCGCTTCGAGTTCTCGAGATGCCGGACGACGCTCGGTTGAAATCGAGCACGCGGCAAGCGTTCGGAAGGAAGAGGAAGCGACCGTGGAACAAGAAGCCGAAGCTGTCTGCTGCAAGTGCGCCACCGCGATTGGCGCCACCGCGATCGGCACCGCCGGATGCCTTGGATCTTCCGGAAACATCAGCCGGAGACATCGCGACTCAATGCAGCAGTGGCAGTTTGTCGAGCTTTGCGAGCGCGGTTCGTGTCGACACCGCATACTACACGGCCGAGCAGGCGCAACGAGTCGCACGATCGGACGAATGCAAGCGTGCGCTATCGGAAAAGTCGGCGACCCAGCGCAAATCCGACCTTCTCGGCATCACCACAGGAGGCCAGACGCGCGACGCTGGGACACAGTTCATTGTAGTGGACATGAAAGCTCTCAAAGCATGGAGAAGGACAATCTGTGTTTGCGTAAGGCCAGCGCTGCCCACCAGAGCAGCAGCAATGCAAAGCAGAGGTTCTCCAGGCAACACCAAACTGGAACAGCTGGGGACTACAGTCCTGGACAGCTGTGAGGGGCTCCCCTTTCAAGTGCTACACGAACAAAGGCCCTTTTCAGGGCCAAACAAAATCTGCTTTCGGAACGTGCAACCCTTGGTGCCTCCTCCCGTTGTCCCTTATAGAGTCTACTCATTCTTTTATAACTTTATTTTACATTGCAGACATTATTTCTCAGTTTTATATTATTTTTTAAAGGTTCTTGTGAACGGATTGCAGAATTTTTCATCTCAATTTGTTCAGATAGAACTATGCTTCATATTGCTGAACATTATTGCATGGGATTCTTACTCAATTTTATGCAATGAGTGTCAAAACTTCAACTGCAATTTCCTCAGCTTCGCATTTTTCGTCTACATGCCTAGCCTTACGGTTGTTTTCAGGAGATTGTTCTTCAAGGATTTCTATAAACTTTATACCGTTGAATT